TATATATATATATATATATATATGTATGTATCTAAATATATATATGTATATATACATATACTTTATATATACATATGTATGTATGTATATGTATATGTAGGTATGTATGAATATATATAGATATGCATAATTATACACACACATATATATATATATATTTAGTCATATATGTATATATATTTCTATATGTATATATATATATATATATATGTATGTGTGTGTGTGTGTGTGTGTTTGTATAAAGAAAAATTTATATATATATAGATGTGTGTGTGTGTGTGTATTTCGCAAACTAATGGCAAATTGTTTTTGGTCGCAGTGCGATAGACATTCCTTACTCGATCAGTTCTGGGAGTTTGTTGGGACTGTGCAGGCATGGGGGTCCAATCCCTTGGGACGATGACGCGGATATTGTTGTGCCGAAGACCGACTTTTTCACTGCAATTGAACACATAAACGCTACACTCGCTCCACATGGATACACTGGTATTTGCTTTTATGCTTGTCCACATGGATACACTCGTATTTGTTCTTATGCTTAACATGAACTGCTCCTTTGCTATTGAACTCGTTCTTTTATATGATGGTCTGCCATTTATATGATGTTGCTGTATCTCATTGTAGATACTTTGGTACTGTACCGTGCATGAAGTGGATGTGCGTTACACTGCGTTGGTTTGTTTTCTCAAAATTGCATTATATACATATATATATGTGTGTGTGTGTGTGGGTGTGGGTGTGTAGCCAGGTATAGTGTTAATCCTTTCTCGTAACAATATAAATGGGTTGATAACACGAATGTCAGTCGCTGTCGAGCGACACTTCCAGTGATACCAAACATCTGAACGCCAAATAAATTCAATCGACAGGGGCATGCTAAATCAAACCTTGCAATTGTGCATACATTGTCATACGGATTGCAGCTGTGCTTGTTTGCCATGTTATGTTCATATCTATTTTTAGGCACATCGTTTCACCTTTGCTTCCCAGTGATGTACCATATACCTCCGGAGGCACTCGTCGATGTTACTAAACTTCTCATCTGCCGCAATCTCCTCCAACAAGCGAACGTTGACAACCGCATCTATCTCTTTATTGGCAATGTACACATACCATAGCAGTATTTGGTGTTTGTATCTTTTAGCTTCTATCGGACACAGCACAAAGTACAAGAAATCCCATACTCCAACCATTGATACGCTGTATGATATCTGATCCTTGCGACGCTATCAGTGCTGTTTCAAGCGCCGGCGAGTAAGAACAACCGCAAGGTCAAAGCCAAACTGTTCCCCACCGATGGCACACCTGTCAAGTCAAGAACATGCAGATTGTACGGCGAGGGCTGCTATCGGTATCCATTTATAGGTAACCAGAACTCTCTCTATCTCTCTCTCTCTCTCTCTCTCTTGTATTTGTGTACGACTTGTTTGATTTAACGTACCCATTCATAGGTAACCGTAACTCTCTCTTTAGTATTTGTGTAAGAGTGTGTATGTCCAAGCTGACGAAGGTCTAGGCCCAACTGTTCCCTCTTGATAGTTCACCTGTTATATCAAGAGCGTAAAATTGGTAGGCGAAGGATTCTATCATTACCAATTCACAAGTATCCTAAGTTTCGCATGTTACGTAAGAGAATAGTGTATGTCTCGGCATACGAAGGCCAAGGCCAAATAGTTTCTCTTGGTGGCACATCCAAGCCACGGCTGTGGTGAGGGTTCGGTTGGGACTGCTTTCGCAATCCATGTGTACGTACCCTAACGTTGCATGTCAAAGTATAGAAAAGTACGTATGCAGCATATGTATGTGTGCGTGTGTCTGTATACGTCTGTGTATGGGTCTGTGTATGGGACGGTGTATATGTCTGTATATATGTTTGTATATGTATATGTCTGTGTAGGGGTCGGTGTATATGTATGTGTATGGGTCGTTGTATATGTCTGTGTATGGGTCTGTGTATATGTCTGTGTATGGGTCTGTGTAGATGCATGTGTATATGTCTGTGTATGGGTCTGTGTAGATGCATGTGTATATGTCTGTGTATGGGCGTATGTATGGTAAGACATGGTACAGCCAAACTGTCTGCAAGATCCAGGTCGCGTCACCCATGTTGGTGGAAGCCCCATCAAACCAAGAACTTGTAGACTGTACGACGCTTGCCTCTCAGTTGCTCATACAAAGACAAAAAAATCACATACACAAACGCATTGATGAGTGTGTGTGGTGTGTCTGCAAGTGTGTGTATCTATAACTGCAGATGAGTGTAAATTAATCACTCTGGAGTAGTCGAAATGGTTGATTGCAGAAGATCCGAACAAGAAGCCTTTGGGCCAATTTACTAGTAGCATCTGTGTACCGTTATGTTCTGTTGCGAATTTTTTTTTGTTCTCCAATACGTTTGTACGCAGCCGGGAAAAGTCGATACTCCTTGTAGTGGTTTAATGTCACTGTGTCTCTCAGCTTGGCAGGTCGCAAGTGCATTAACCGTGAACTTGTTGTGCTCCGTGTTCTGCTAAGTTGCAGTTGTGTTGATTTTATCAGTCGGATGACCATGACTTCTGACTGGGCTATCTCTCTTCTCGTATCTATTTGCAGATGTATGTTTCATATGTATAGTAAAGTATCTGCACATACAGTTTGAGCGAATCTGTGATATCTACAAGTGTATACGTAGCAATACCCAACCGTTCGTCTCATAACCCACGCTTTGCATACGGGCTGCGTCAGATATCTTCGTATACTTTGAAGAGAAAGGCCAACACGAGGAAACCACAATACGAATGTCGGACAAGGAGCTGGCCAATGTGCCAAGGTGTGTATGTACATACAGTTGCATACACGGTGAAAGTACTTAGCTAAGTTGGCTGTGTAGCCAAGGTGTGTATGTACATACAGTTGTATACACGGTGAAAGTACTTAGCTAAGTTGGCTGTGTAGTTAAGGTATGCCCGTACGCACAAGTGAGTACACTGAAGGTACCGTTGGCTGTAAGTAGACACGAGTCTATTTTATGTATCTGAACACACCTAAGGTCTGTTCTGATATACAATTGCATACAGGGGATGCATCATGGTATATGTGTGGTACGTCATGCTCTGTGCCTATATACACTTGAGTGTATCAAGGGCTCGTTGGGTGGGACATGCAGTGTACCTGGTTGTGTGTGTGTGTGTCACCTTGCTTATCAACAACAACGAGTAATCCATCGAGTATGACCAATAAAGAGCAGACACTCTACACTCCATATCTATATTTCACAGCAACAACTACTTTGCGTATGCAGAGAATTGGTTGTCTATTAGTGATACTGGGTTTTCATCCGTGGATCCTCATGCAGCTACAATGTAATATGCACGCTCATGTAAACCAATCACCACCCACCGATGTTTTTGGACTTGCTCGAGTAGCGGAGTGTCGTTCATCGTCGGAGAATAAGATTAGAGCAATATATATTTATATTTATATATGTGTGTGTGTGTGTATGTATGTATGTATATATATATATATACATATATGTATATATGTATATATATATATATATATGTATATATATATATATCAGTCTCCCTGTGTTCTACGGAGCATACGCGCCCAACGTACTTTCTGAAAGATAAACGATCACTGTATTGAATAGATCTCAGTCAGCTATGTGAACGTCATATTTACTTTTCAGCCACAGTTTGCCGCAGCATCCACGCAAATGAAATGCTACCAAAAGCACTTGAATACACCACTCACATCCGTATACACCCATAGCCAGCTGATCTAGGGCTCTGTATGATACATCAACACACTATCTGAAAGACTGAACCCCATCCACAACGTTCACTGCAGCATCCACACCAAAGAAACTGTGCCAGTCCTGTACCACTGGCCAGGCGGCTACACATCCCACACCCGCGCATTCACGGGAGCGCCTGCTATTGTCCGAGCCATGTATGGGGAGAACTACGACGACGTGTGCGTCAGTAGAGGCTACAGCCATAAACTGAATAGGTATATCGTATTGTTGTGTGTGTACATATGGGTTACTGCCATAAATTGGAAAGGTATGTCGTATTGTTGTGTGTGTGCATATGGGTTACAGCCATAAATTGAATAGGTATGTTGTATTGCCTTGTGTGTCCATATGTCTGAGTGTGCATAAGCCGAGGGTACAGCCATAAATCGAATAGGTAGGCTTTTGTCTTGTGTGTACATATGTCTGCTACAGTAATACTCTGAGTATTTATAATCTAGTATTGTGTCTATCAGGCAGATGGCATGGCCATTAGTGGGCCACGTATGCTGCATCATGCGGTGAGGCGCATGTCTGTGTTAGAGTCGTTGATAACAATACAACACACGGGTACACGTGCACGCGCAGAAGTACAGTCGTAAGCTGAACAGATGTGTTGAGTGGAGAATGCAGTCGTAAGCTGAACAGATATGTTGAGTGGGGTATGCACGGATCTCCTGTGCCCATCACATATACGACGGGTGCTATGATGATCCGAACAGGTATGGCCTTTCGAGTTTACATGTGTAGCATCATCCATGTAATATACTTTGTAGTGTTGGGTGCTTAAGCAAGTGATCTGCTATATTCACAATATCAAGCGTGTACATGAGTCGGTTATAAGTGCACTATTTCTGTACGGTGTTGGGATCAGATTCACCCCCCGAGGACCGTTTACACAGATCCACTCGTTGACGGGCACAATACTACTCATGTTGAGTATGTACTGCATACAAAGCAGAACTTTGATTTGGACGAGAAATATCAATATGATTATTATTATTCTTTGTAGTTATTATTTTCATTATCGTACCCACCAGTCTCGCTGAAAAGTACAAGACCTTTGGGCTGACCTGCCAGCAATTGCGGACGCTGAAACCGCATATCAAATTTTCCGATGGATCTCTATGCTCTGGCGTTGCTGAGTTAGCGAACGATAATAAATATTAAAAGCAAAATTGGTAGACAATGGACCGTAGAACACAAAGCCGCACGTTCATTGTGGCCTGCAGTGTGTACAATGAGTTGTATGTGCGATGGACATTTGTCGTAACATATCATACTGTTTGCGCTTGGGCAAGGATGCACTCACGTGTACTATGGACAATGCTTCTTGTGTGTGTATTTTTTTCTAAAGTACTCGGGATGTGCTTTGTTCGCGTTCGCGGTATCGCAGCGTACTAATACGTTGTGATTGGCTTGTGCAGTGTCACACGCTATAGAGATGGGCGGGCAACTTAGATATAAAAATATAAAAAGTAGAGACAGTATAAAACTTAGATTTAAAAATAGAACAAGTAGAGATAGTATAGTGGCAAGGATCAATCTGTGAAAGTTAATGAGCCGGGGTGTCTTGCGCTCTGAACTTCGTCGTAGAGCAGAGACGACAGATCTCGAACACATCCTGCTGGAATGATCCCACCCAATACATACATGCATGCATGTATGTCTATTTAATTACACACATGTACGCGTGTCCATCTACGATTGCACATGTACGTGTATGCCTGTCTATCTACAAGTGCACATGTACATGTGTGCAAATCATACACATAAAGCACTTGTGCTAGAATATAAAAAGACCACATCAAATAGCACGCCCACTGTGCGAAGGAATAATTGCTGTGCTTGGCATCTTTATTTTACGTTCTTTGTTGAAGTCCGCAGGCTATTTCAGCCTTCATATCCAGTGATATGATCAGATCTTGGTTTGCATTGTAACTTCCCTTCTCCAAATGCTCTACTCAGAGTCCAAGACGATACCACGCTACCAGTATATAGCTCGTGTAGCAGTTTACTTAGTGTCCCTGTGTGCACCCACCGACAGGTTGCATGCAGAGATGATACCTATGTTGTTTCCGTGGGTGGAGGGTACAATGTACTCGTCCAGGTGGTTCTTGATCTTATCCACGCTCACGTATCCGTTGAGGATCTTTTTGAAGGTCTCTCGGATCTTGGGGAAGAGCGAGTGGCGGTTGAGAATGCCTCCGCTGATTACAATGGCTGTTGGAGAACGGGGATGCATGGGATGGATAGCAACGGGATGGTTAGCAATTGGAGAGCAGAGAGACACAGACGAAAAAGGAACAGACACGGACAAGGTATTCGGTATTCATTCAATCGTGTGGTACGTATATGAATCTGGCAACCGATAAGCCATCAAAGCCCATTTATATATATATATATACATGCATATACTTATATAAACATATATGTTATATATATATATACATATGTCCAAATATAATCGCGGCTCTATATGCCGCCAAGACAACCGCAAAACAGCTGACATACAGTATATAATGAAGCAGGAAACAAACTGAACAGGGGAGCGTACATACATTTTCATATAACAGCTCCTGATACGAACCGGATAATGTGTTGTACGAGATCTACTCGATATCAGTCAAAATGCTATAAACTAAACCCAATTTAGCAACGACCGACACGTGCATTCAATAAACAAACCCGTTTATCAACTGCACGGAAATTTGATAAAAACCCAAAATTCTACACCTATAACCACAGGGAAATGCAATATACGTAAAGCAACTGTTTGAAATCCGTACCTTCGGGAGACAGCAACAGCGTGATACTCATGCACGCTTGCGCCAGGTAGTATGCTATGGAACAAAATAGTGGAGAAGTCAGTATATGATAAAGCAAGTGGCCATATGTGATAATAGATTGGAGTTCAGATACACAATTTTTGGGGACAGCTTTGCCAGAACTATCTGCAACATTCAAAGCAAGAATGACAACAGTGCCATGGACTATGTGGTCTGTGCGGATTAGACTCATTTGTATCATCATAATAGTAAAAGTATCGAAAACCGTAACGAATGGAATGCACACCATTGTGTAGACTGCGCCATACCCATCCCCATCTCCAAATGAAACACATCAGTACTTCTGTGCCAATTCCATTGCATCAAGTCACAAGTTGTTACAATTACCTTTCTACATCGTGCACAGATGTACAAATTCCGGTCGACATCTCATTCCACACGCCCTCGGAATCGATATCAAAAACACGCTTATACACACGAGTTATCTCACCACAACAGATAAAGTCAACGGCGCATTCGCTAAGGAATCAGTGCACGATCAAAAGGAGCACCCACAAGTCCTCTTTCCTGCGACCAACAAGTGCAAAAGAGATGTCTACATGCCATGCAGACTGGACGAGTGCATCCAGATACAATACATACGATTCAATACCTGTATGCATACGCCTACATCATCGGAAAATACCTTGATACATACAACTCAGACATCAGGATATACTCATATATATATATAACAGATCTGCCAAACACAGCCGATGAACGACATAGACCAGACAGTGTAGTCACCACAAAATATTGTCATCGCATCGAAGGTGTCTTGGTGATAGTGCCGTCCTTGCGAATAGCAAAGGCAAGCAATACAAGGCGACCTGTCACGCTCAATAAAACTGGACATTCATCAAAATAAAAACACATTCCCCACAAAACCGACACACATGGCACTATCTGTACACACAAACGGAAGACATGATCCATTCACGGGCACGGCTTTCAGACCTACCGGCATAGTCCCACAGAGGGTCGTCATCAGGGTAGGTAGGTAGCTTTGTGATGTCTCCGTCTTTGCGGGCAGCCAAGGCGTGCGACGCCACCATGCCTTCGATACAGGCCCCGTGGTACGGGCAACGGCCCTTGTAGTCGTCTCCAGGTGCATTAGGGATCATGATGTGCCCTCCTTCCATGTGCATGAGTCCGCGTACCGTGCTGCCGTTGACCACTGCGCCTACGCCCACGCCCGTGCCTACTGTGATGTATGCGAGGGACTTGACGTCTCTGGGGAGAGAAGAACGTGGTGCGGAATGTGGTGAGTGGATGTGTATACCGAGTGGGTGGTAATCTGGTCCAGGAGACACGCACCTACATGTACACGAGGATATGAAGTGAAAGGAGAATTGATACTTTTTTAACTATTTACTAATTCGCTTAGTTAGACTTCACAGAGACTCTTTAGTGTGTGAGAGAGTGTGAGTGAGCGAGAGTGTGAGTGTGAGTGTGAGTGTGTGTGTTCGTGAGTGTGTATGTGTACTTACATACAGAAATACAAAGACGACAGCTATGGATATATAAAGATATATATATGTGTGTGTCTGTGTGTCTGTGTCTGTGTCTGTGGGTGTATGTGGGTGTGGGTGTGTGGGTGGGTGTGTGGGTGGGTGTGTGGGTGGGTGTGTGGGTGGGTGTGTGTGTGGGTGTGTGGGTGTGTATGTGG